CCCCCCCTCCCCATCCCCTTTACTCAACCAAGCAGTACAGATGGTTGACTCGAATGTGCTACATACATGCACACATACCTATTTTGCATCCACTACTCATCCAGACACAGGTTGTGATTAAATTAGATGTGTTGGATCCATGGACAACCATGCCACTGTGTCATTTATTTAATGTCAACAGATGTTACAAAGATTCAAAAACTAAATTCACCAAAGCCAGACATGAAAACCCCTAAAGACCAGCAGGTGAAAAAAATAGGGGAACATGTGCCCCTGACCAAGGCAGTGGTGCCACCCTTCGTGTTTTATGGTATCCCAATAAAATGTAGTGTACACAAATATAGTAAATTATGGCGATGTGATTACAGTCAAACCAAGTGAAGCATACCACTCAAGATTACATTAATGAATTGATTATTTGAATATTGAACCTGCTAGTCATTTCAAGAATGCAATAATGGATTGATTATTGGAAAATTGAACCCACTAGTCGTTCCAAGAATTCAGCTAATGGGTTTAATGTTCAAAAAAATCAATTTAATATCGATTTTTGAAATGACTAGCGAGTTCAATATTCAAATAGTCAATTCATTATTACATTCTTGAAACGATTAGCGGGTTCAAGATTCAAATAATCAATTCATTAATGTAATCTTGAGGGGTACGCTTCACTTGGTTTGACTGTAATTTGTTGGGTCATGTAGCTGATCTTGTCAGGTTTTTGACCTGAGACCCCTAACTTATCTGGGACACTGAATGAGGCCAAATTTCCTGCTCTTTTCTTATAACAAAATTCAGTTCAAAAAGTTTTACCTGCCTGTGAAAAACAATTGCCTTCCTGCTGAAAAAGGTAATGAAACCCCTTTGGCATATATGTTGTCATTTGTATGTCGCATATCATTTTACCCCTCAAACAGGACCATGTTGCTTAAAACATGTGTAACTTCATAGCTTAGTTTGGATAGCATTGCACTGGTAACATGCAGGTTTGAGGTTGAAGCTGCGATCTTTTTTAATCCTTTATCTACCCTACCTTGTGTAAATTGCAGCCGGTGTTAACTGTGTTGATCACTTACTCACTTCGAGGGGTGGAAAATTCGCACTGATCTTTTTTTCTTTTATTTTTACTTGCAGAAATCTGTAGGAAATACGAGGTTAGTTTAAAGTTTTATCTTTGATGAAAAAATGAATACTTTTTGTTAGCACAAATCCCAAATTACTGGTCGTTTCCACTCATTTGTTCTATATCTTTTATGCTGGGCATTAACATTTTGTTCTGAAATCAACATTTACCCAAACATAGCCCATAGAAATTTTTAACACTGTTTTTGGTCCTCATTCTAGATTGAGCTAATTGAGAAAGAATACATCCGTGAGCAGAAGGCGGCACAAGAGGAATATGAGGTAAGCTTAATTCCCATGAGTGGTTAAAATAGTATTTGTCCTGAAACTAGCGGTGAATTGTCTAGGAGACAGTTGATGAGAAAAAAGGAACACCATCAGCAGAGCTATCATTAAGTTTTGAGTCACCTGCAGTCACGTTCTCCACACCTGTAGCAAACGTGTTACTTTGTGGTTAAATTTTATCAACAACAGGCAATTTCACCTGCAGCGTCAAGGGAAAATGAAGCATTTTCAGCTGTAACAGATACAGGTTACAGCCCTTAATGACAGCCCTGATCAGTTAGGGGATGTTGTGTGGATGTATACCGTATTCTCAGAACTGAGATTAAAAGAAATGTATCAGACTCGGTAATGAGAATTGATATTCCAAGCTTGGAGCTGAAAGGGGTGCACATGTTGCTCCATTGAGCTGTTTTATTTCAATTTTCGATTCTAACAGCAAAAGAAAATTGAACTTAAGGAGACACTGCTGAATGAGTTACAAGAGAAGAAAAAGGTGATAGAGACAGAGAGAGTATCTATGGAGCTAACTGGAGGTCAGTACAGAAATTTTGATACAAATTGTTATTTGGGTGAGGAATGGTCCAAAAATATTTTTTTTCAAGCAGTCTGAGTTCAAACGCTGGCTGGGGACATTGTGCTGTGTTCTTGGGCAAGACACTTTACTCTCACAGTGCCTCTCTCCACCCAGGTGTACAAATGGGTACCGGTTAACTTAATGGTAGGGGTAGCCCTGTGATGGACTAGCATCCCATCCAAGGGGGAGTAGAAATGTTCCCAGTCACTTCATGCTACAGAAACTGGGATAAGTTCAGGCCTGGTGGGCCACTTGGCTAGTACGCAGACTTAAACTTACTTAACTGGCATCAACAGCCAGATCTTACACCTTTTGCTCTTGGTAACAAACTGCTCCATGTAAAAGTACTGATCAATAGCTTTTGTGTGAATGATCTTATGTAAGATATGCAGCATAATAATTTAGTGAATTACTGCTCAATTGAAATGCTTTATTTTTAATTGTGATGAAACATTCCACATTTTTGTCCAAAGAGCCACCTTGTACTTTATATTAATATGCACAGTGCCACATTGTCACAGGCAACAAGTCAAGAATGTCATTTGCAGACAGTTTAAGCTGGCACAACATTAATTTGACTCTGAAGTTATACTAGGCTGATAGATTGCTTGTGGCTTTAAATTCATGTAGATTCAGTGGAGGTGAAACCTGCTGTCACAAGAAAGCTAAGAAGAAGACCCAATGATCCATTACCTGCACCTGAGAAAAGAAGGAAAACTTCTCATATCCTTTTGATTCATCAACCTTACCATGAATAACATACATTTCAATTTGTTTGTGGAGGAGATCTACACAGGTTTATTTAAGTTACCAGTAGTTAAGTTTGGATTACTGAGTACCAATGACTTCAGAGAGATGTCTTGTAGGGTGAAACTATGGCTTCTGTCTTTATAATGACCTTAACTGACCCCACCCCAGATAAACTATATGCTTGACGATGAAGAGATCATGGAAGACCTGAAAGCACTCAACAAATTAGTGTCTCTACCTGGAGAGGTGGGAAAATGGTTTTGGTTTGTTTGCAATTTTGTTGAGTTTCACGCTTTCTAGCAAGATACAATCCAAGATATGTCACAGACAAGAGTTTGACAGATGCAAAATCCATCGCATGGATAAGATTTGTCTCGAACTTGCTACTTTTGAGGAATTTGCAACAGCTGTGCTGCAAACTTTAGCCAAGAGATGTTTTCCATCTCGTGATCACTTTTTTTGAATCCACGGCTGAAACCAACAGTGCGTCAAACGGCCTGAAAAAAAAAGGGATTTCAACAGATGTCTGGGAGCAGTAGTAATCCTTTGTGGTCCTTCTCCTTACCATGGATATTGCATTATTCACTCTTCATTTTCACAAAGATTATTGTGTATTATCATCATTTATGGTTTGTAATGGTACATACTAGGTTTCATCATCTCAAGCTCAATCACAGAACAAAACGGGAACAAGCCGCATTAAGACCTCCTCAGGTATGGTCATTGCAGTGTAGATTTTATTATTAGCTAAGTGTTAGTATTTCTAAACATGAAATGAAAGTGAACTTCAGATCAAAATTAGGCATTGTGTATATTGAAGAACAATTTTTTTTCAAATTGATTTGTTTCCAACTGTGGTTAATTTGTTTCGACCTGAACACTATTGATATCAAAGAAAACAATTCAAGTTCAACTGTCAGGATTTTTGATTTAAAAAAAAAATGAAATTCTTATCTGGGATTATAGACCGTTATAACAGTGTTATTTTCAGGTTGATACAGGTTAACATAGTTGGAAAAAAATTCATTAACTTAAAGAGAAATTTGGCCTGCGACGTGCTTGCTTAAGAAAAAAACGATTGTTTCCTTGATGATTATAATTCAAACTGTAGAATCTTCAGTATGGGTTTGGGGATGCCTTTGCAATGGTTGTTGATATAAGTGATGATTGTCTGACTGATATCAATGTTCATGCTTTGAAATAATCTACAGGAAATGGTCCTCACACCGAAGTCTCATACCCAATTGAAGTACGATCTGAAGATGGAAAGCTTTTCTATGACAAGAAATGGTAAATAATTTATTTCTATCAAATACATTAAATTACTAGGTACAATTAAAAGCAGTTAACAGACTGGTTTAAGATACGGGTTAGGAGTGAATCAATTGACTGCTGGTTAATAATAGTTTTGAACTGCAGCTACCTTAGCTGTTGGAATTCACAAACCTGGTGACAAAAGTTTTGTTAACAAATAACGTAATTCATGATATACATATATATATTCTATTTTAGTTCTTATGAACAGTTGATGTGATGTCTTCCAAGATTTTATCAACTTAATAAATGTAGATGTAGATGTAGATAATCACAATAATACATGAATAATGTCTTGCACCCATTCTTCTTACATCATATGTAGTCTTTGAGTGTGTTTAGTTGTGTATTGTAGGTAAAATCCCTTGTTTTCTACTAATGGTAATAGAGACTGCACACTTGCACATGCACATGTGAGAAGCTGACAGTAGTACTAACTCCAACTTGAGAAAAATTAAACTACAATGACAGTGGTTCCTTCTGTTTTCTCTAGGTTTCACAAAGGATGTGGACTTGTCGTAGAAACACGAGAAAATGGGAGATATAGGTGGGTTTGAATGTGCTAGGGCGGCAATCAAATATTTGCTGGTAATATTCTACATATTATTGCCGTGGGAACTACTGCCTTTCCCGCATTGGTTTGTCCAACAACACCCCATGCTGCACCAGAACCACTATCCAGAGTGCAACTCCATAGACTCTAAGATGAACGGATGCCAATGATGATGATTTTTGCCATTCAAGTGTGCAATGAATTCCTTTTCTTTTCAGTTGTCCTTATCTAACTAATGGGCACAGGGAAACACCCTTTCCTCCAGCACTGGCTGTTAATCATGCAAACCACAGGCATAGATGCGACTTATGTGACCTATTGCAAATGCTGCTTATTCCTGTACATGTTGTAAATATTACACGTGAGCTTGGGTCTAAAGGGGTCATTTCACTCACAATAATAAATATTTTCTCTTCCACTAGTGGTTCACTCCATTCTGTTGGGCAGTCAGAGGTCAGTCAAATTAACTATTTATTAACTAAATATAGGATTGATCTTATTTAATTGCCTTGACTTTTTTATTATATATATTTTATTTTACTTATTCAAAGCAAGCAAATGTTGGGCATTTAAATTTTATAGGAAAGTATTTTGGCAAGATGATCTATACATAATAAACATAGATCATATGGGATACTTGTCCCTCTGATCATAAATGCAAGTTTGTTAAATGCAAGCTTTATTGAGAGAAAAAAAAAATTTTAAAAAACATGTTTCTATAATTTGTAGTGATGATCTCAGAAGGAAAATTTTTGGTATAAGTTTGTGTTTCTATTTCTTTCAGTTTCTATAGGTAAATAACTCCAGTGCTGAATTTTTCTAATCCTAGAACAGTCTTGCAAACAAAAGTGCAAGGGTGCCAATGTTTTGTTGTTGTTTAGATTTGATGTTTCCCAGATTAATATTTTCACATCTTTTTTTTTTTCTAGGTGTGGATTAAGAAAACAGATAACACCAAAGTCCGTATTTACATTTCCTCACTCATCAAAGGAAAATTTCATCTCAAGAAGAAAAACACCAGCAGCAGCAATAATAACATTAGTTCTGCTCCATCAATAACCCACTCCAGTACATAACAATCATTAAAACCTCTTCTATGTATAATACTATAAAATTTCACGCACAAGTAGTAAATAACACCCATTTGGAGACATCTTCCTTGTATATACATTACATAACTTTCTCCAGTAATAAACAAGTTCTTCAGTGGAAGACTATTTCCATGTATTTGACCTTTGAAATTGGAATGTTTTGTTGAAGTTAGGGAGTACCAGACTTGTAAAGCTGTCAAAGCCTCAAGATATTAACTTTCATGCATACTTGGAAGGGACTATGATCTTGAGAAATGAATTGATAGCCTAGGTTTAATATATTAAAATTCCTATGACTTAGACATTTTTTCTCAAGAATTTAAAATTGTGGAAGATTCCTAATTAGAGACCCGGATTTTAGTCAGTGACAAGTGGAAAAGGGGAATCCTCACCGCAAGTTTCTCTGCACTTTGTGCAATTCACCTTGGAGGTAACGTTATGTTGATACACCATGGCTACTTGTGATCAGAACAAGCATTTGAGTAAGGCGGCTCACGTATGTGTAAGGAGCTACAACACACTAGGTACAATTTGCAGTTCTGGTAAATTACCACAGTGTGTGACTTCATTAGCCTTGGCAAGTTCACGAATTTTGTAAGAAGGACAAAATATACCCGTGTTGTCGTGATCTGGTAGTTTAATTGTAATGTTGCTTTTATTAAAATTGTTCTATTTTTCCAAAGCTTTTGTTTCTTCAACAAACAACTATGGTAAGGTTAGCACTCCATTAGCAAAAACCCAAGCCTTTTGGTTACCGTCGTTACCCTGAAAAAAGGATATTACCAGTCCGACTAGAAATCCTAGGAAATTGAAAGGTGATTCTAAAAAGTCTTAATACAATGAACAAGTGCTACACAGCACTATCATTTATCAGGAGCCCATGCATTTGGTTACCCAGTCGTAATCCATCTCAGAGGTCCTAGCGCCAAAGCTAACCTTTAATTTCCTCAAAGGTTTCTGTCAACAGCAATTAGTTCAAAATTTGTGACGTTCTGATGTTCATAGCAATGGAGCAAGTCTTTAACTTTGTTAAAGTGAGTCAAGGTCTGTAGGTACCGTACTTTATATGTATGGTTTTAGTGAGAGTCCACCATGGACTTTGCAGAAATAATGATGGCACCTCCTTAAAATACTTGAAATTATTCTGACACTTTACAACTATAAATTTAACATTTTGACCAATATTTCCCATTTAGTAAGAGTTAAAATGTCTCTACGCTCTTAGGTCACTGAAGCGCAGCGGTGCTTCTTCTGACAGTCACAGTATACTGTTCATGTTTGAAGCCAATTCTAGAATATACTAGTGCAGTCTTCGCTAACTTGCCACTGTACCTTTCCGACACCGTCGAAAGAGTCCAAGGGCGTGCCCTTCGTCTTACATTATAGCGAGGCACTTCGCACAGCAGACATACGATCGCTGCAGGAAAGAAGAGTTTCCGCTTGTCGCAAGTTTATTTGCACTGTCTCTAGGCTCGTTACCAGTCGTATACCTGATGTGCAGACCAATCAGTCATTGAGACCAAGGAATTTAACGGTCCGTGCCGCAGCCACCAACAAGTTTATTGACTTCGTCACAAACAAGTATGCCACGCTTGACACTATAGCTTGATATCCATTACTTTTGCATTTCCATTTATATTGAAGTGTAGTTAATAGTATTATTTATTTCTGACACTACCTGTAACCCTACTAATTGAAAAGAGTGGTCGACTCGTATTTAAGAGGTTCCTAAAATAGGATGACTGACTACGGGTTTTCATTAGGTCAAAACCAATGGCTGTAGTGGATTCTTTCCAAGACTTTGTAGAGATTTTGGCTCTGTGATTTACCCTCTACACAAACATTGAAATCGCTTAATAAAACACAACAAAAACTGGGGTATATCAAAGAAGTTACAGGTTGATGACAGAACACAAACTTTTATTTTGATGATAAAATTTTACAATACAGGAAAAACAAATAATTTATAAGCTTAACAGTCAATGCAATGTTTTGCTCTGGAAAACATTCTTATTCGATAACGTAAGATGAAATAAGGGTTTCAATCTATGTGGTTTGCTTTGGATCTAAGTGAACTAAGAGGCTCATCAGTACGGGCGATCTCTTCGCTCCTGTCTCATGCCTTGTCTGCAATAAAAGAGACAACAACATTTAATGATTATTTCTGCTGAATGAAAGTTGAAAACCAGCAATAATCCAAGCAATAATAGTTAAATTTTGTGTAAACAGTACTTGAGAAAAACGCATCAATTATAAAAATTTTACCTGTCGTAGCCACCTCGTCCACCACCACCACGCCCACCTGGCCCTCCTCTTCTGTCGCCACGTCCTCCACCGCGGCCACCACCTCCTCTACCTCCACCCCAGCCTCCTCTACCTCCTCCTCCGCCACCACTTCTTCCTCCATATCCACCACCACCACCACCTAGAATAAAATGAGAAACTGAGTACTGTGCAACCAGACCCTCAACAAGGATTTTAAACTTAGTATTTTAATTTTAAAGTATTGTAAAGCGCCATGGACAATTAGTGGAAAATGGCGCTATATAAATGTATATTTATATTGTACTGACAGCTTTTTGGGGGCTCAAGAACATGCTTATTTAGGCATTTTCTAATTTTAGGAAACTATTAATTATGAGCACAAGATGGTCACACTAACAGGGTTCCACTGCACTCTAAAGGTGATACAAACAGTTTTAAGACAACTTCTTGCAGTTGTCAAGAGATGCAGATTTCCCACTGTCAACATCTATGGAATCTCATCCATCTGTTGGAATACATCTTATTCAATCTAACTGCTATAAAAAAGATCGAGAGTGCTTCTAAATCACCTTATTTCAAAGGAACTAATAATTCTGAGGTAAAGAGTGAATACTAGACACCACTTCTCATCTGTCAGAAATGTGACGGGGTTAAAAACTAACATGATGAATACTCAAATACTCACCATCACCACCGTCACCAGATCGTGGGGTCTGGCATCTGTTGCAAGTATCCCTCCTGGCAAAATTCATGTTTCCACACCTGGTCACAAACAAAATGCATCAGACTCTGCGATTGCTACAATAATATCCTTACTTATACCATTTGACTGCTAAACAATAATTTAGCTGAATACACAGGCCAGTAATCACTGGCCAATCACAAAGGACCCAGACAATCAGTGAGCTACCCATGACTTGAAGTATTAACTTCTACATGTACACATTCCAAAGTGTAGGAAAATTTGTGCAAGCAAGTCAGAATTGAAGTAATCATATGTAACGAGCCTATAGCAAGTAAGATAGGGATAAGATAGAATTTGAACATTAAAATGGTAAAATTTTGACGAAATTTTCAAATTTGTATGATCCAAGTTATAGTTCCATTCAGCAAATGTCACCTGTAACCATCTCAGAGACTTCAGCACAATGGAAGTAGTTTCTGTTACTTAGGGGCTGGTGGATTTTGCGATTGGGCTAGTGGACTTTAACCTTTGCTTGCTCAAAGGACAATTGAAGTTTTTTGGGGAATGTTTTTCAGAAATAATCAAAAACAGTAAGACTACAAGAGATTGAAATCTTGTTTTAATTTAAATTTGTAATAAAGTTATTGTAATAATAAGAAATTGTTTGCCCCTATTGAGGATGTCTTTAGCTAGAAATGATTGAGTATCTTTAACTTCTTTAAGGAGCAAGAGGGTTTACAAGTGCATTGAAACATAACCAAGGGCAGTAGTGGGACAGTACAAGATCATAACTGTTTTGCATTTCGCTGCTAATTTGGACACAAAAATAGTACGTACGACGAGCAGTCCCAGTCTCCAGCACGAGCCTCTAATTTGCCCTGGTTTCCTCCCCCTGCTCCACCTCCACCACCACGGCTATCATCCCGGCCACCCCTTCGGTCACCACCACCGAAACCACCCCCTCCACGTCCACCGCGTCCACCTCCTGTGTGAGAAAACAGAGTCAGAAATTAAGCTACTCTGGGACAGCTAATACACAGTTGTTGTCACTCAGACCTAGTAAAGTGAAGAAAACC